GATGCTGCTTGGCCTGCTGTGTTCATCCAGCTCTACACCTTGTTATCGCAGATTCTCCAGCATCTGCAATTCCTACTATCTCAAGAACAAGAGGGCATAGATTTCAAGTGATGTGCAAATGAAGCAAAAAACTTTTTCATGCAGCGGAGTACTTAAGGTACGGAATTTACTACCTGGAATTGTGGTGGAGACAGGTTCAACTGAGGCATCCGGGAGGGAATTGGATGGTTATTTTGGATAGAAATGGTGTGCAGGGACATTGGGAAAAGGCAGGAGATTGACACTAGGTAATGATGCTCGCCTGCAGGGCTGGTATAGACAAGATGGACCGAATAGCCTCTTCTGCGCTATAACAATTCTGAGATCCTGTAACTACAGCTCCCAGCACAGTGTTTCACGGCCAATATCCTTACTTGCAACATTTTTATTTTCAAGACGTAAGAAACCTTCAGCTTAGTGAATAGTTATTAATCCCTGAGAGGAAGGACAAATTGGTAACCACCACTGACAAGGTCTGGCAATATTTGGTAAGGTTACGGTGATCTCGAATCAGCAGGGTTTCAGCAGGACAGAGGAAGGGTGAGCTGTTGGGGACCTTTGATGGGTCCAGTTTCTTTTAACTCCTGGAATATTGATAATAGCTAATGAGGCCGCACTTTATCGCCCATTTCTCGCTGTTGAGGGAGTCCAGCGAAGGTTCATCAGACTGATTCCCAGGATGGCAGGACTGACATATGAGGAAAGATTCGATCAACTGGGCTTGTACTCACTAGAATTTATCAGAATGAAGATGGATCTCATCGAAACATAGAAATCCTGATGAGACTGGACAGGCTAGATGCGGGAAGAATGTCCCCAATATTGGGGAATTCCAGAACAAGGGGTTACAGTCTAAGAATAAGGCGCAAGCCAATCAGGACTGAGATGAGGGAAGATTCCTTTACTCAGAGAGTTGTGAACCTGTGGAATTCTCTCCCACAGGAAGCTGTTGGGGCCAGTTCATTAAATATATTCATGAGGGAGCTGGACATGGCCCTTGCATTGAAAGGAATCAAGGGGTGTGGAGAGAGGGCGGGAATGGGATACTGAGATTGTATGTTCAGCCATGATCATATTGAATGGTGGTGCAGGCTCGAAGGGCCAAATAGCCCACTCCTGCACTTATTTTCTATGTTGCTATGTTTCCATATTTCCAAAAACTGAGTAGCTTATTTGGTCCATTTTAGACTGTGTTATAAGTCAGTAATGGTGTAATACTGGAATCAAGGATAGACCAGACTGGATAAGGGGGACAAGTTCTCTTCCCTGAAGAAATTATTTGTATTTTTACAGGTTGACAATGCCCTCTATTATTGCTCAAATCTAGTACAGTTATAGAATAGAATCCTGACAGTATGGAAACAGGCCCTTCTACACAAGTCCACATCAACCCTCAGAGCATCCCACCCAGATCCATTCCCCTATAACCCACTTAATCTACACATCCCCTAAACACTACGGGCAATTTCCCATGGCCAATCCATCTAGCCTGGACATCTTTGGACTGTGGGAGGAAACTGGAGCACCCAAAGGAAACCAGAGCACCCAGAGGAAACCCACACAGACACAGGGAGAATGTGCAAACTCCACACAGACAGTCACCCGAGGGTGGAATCGAACCCAGGTCCCTGGTGCTGTGAGGTAACAGTGCTAACCACTGAACCACCGTGCCACCCTCAAATCTACAACATTATCCAGGGCCCTACCATTAATTGTATAAGTCCTGTCCTTGTTTGTTTTACCAAACTGCAATACCTCGCATTTATCCGAATTAAACTCCATCTGCCATTTTTCAGCCCATTGTCCCAATTGATCAAGATCTCTTTGTATTCTTAGATAGCCTTCTTCACTCTCCACTATACCACCCAATTTTGGTGTCATCCACAAACTTACTAACCATGTCTCCTATATTCTCTTCCATATTATTTATATGAATGACAAACAAAAGTGGACCCAGAACAAACCCCTGTAAAACACCGCTGGTCACAGGTCTCCAGTCAGAAAAACAACCCTCCACCACCACCCGCTATCTCCTACCATAAAGTCAATTTTCTATCCAATTGCCAAGCTCACCCTGAATCCCATGTGATCTAACTTTACTAATTAGTCTACCATGCAGAACCTTGTCAAAGGCTTTATTAAAGTCCATGTAAACAGCGTCTAAGGCTCTGCTGTCATCAATCTTTATGGTTACTTCCTCAAAAAACTCAATTACATTTGTAAGACATGATTTTCCTCGCACAAAACCATGCTGACTAGTACCAATCATGTTTTGCTTCTCCAAATGCGTGTAAATCTTATCTTTCAGAATCATCTCCAACAACATTTCCACTATCGATGTCAGGGTCACAGGTCTATAGTTCCCAGGCTTCTCCTTACAGCCTTGTTTAAACAAAGGCACATTAGCCACCCTCCATCCCTCTCACCTCACCTTTCACATATACCCACATACACACATACTCCTTTGCCATGAGCTTCCGGATGTCGCTGGTTGTGAAAGGTGCTATACTCAACAATCCCTCCCCCATCCTCAACACACCCAACCACCCACGCCCACCCAGACACAAGCCCACACACAGACCCACACACACACCCACACACACCCCCACACACCCACACACAAACGCACCCACCCACACACACACACTCACACACACACCCCCACATACACACCCACCCACACACACACACACCCACACACATCCCCACACAAAAACACACAAACCCAGACACCCACACCCACGTACAAACACACCCACCCACACCCACACACCCACCCACACACTCACACAAACCCACACACAAACCCACACACACACACACACCCCCCCCACACCCACACCCACACATATACCCACCCACCCACACACACATATACCCCCTCCCTCCCCACACACACACACACACCCACACACACACATATACCCACACACACACGCACATATACACCCCCCCCCACACACACGTACACACACACAGACAAACCCACACACAAACCCACACACAAACACACCCACACACACAAACCCACACACACACACAGCCACACCCACCCA